ACATGAAAACCTAGTTTAAACAAACTAAAATTGAAAAGAATTCAAAATAAATCAAATGACAAAAATAGCATTAAAACTTTAAATGCAGTTTTCGAGTCATAAACAACTCGGATAGCCAAAATCCCACATATCACAATAAAGTAGTGAGTTCTACTCGTCTCGTGATTCTCTTTTCGGAATGGTATTATGGATCCAAATCGAAGCTCGACTGTCACACCTGCACTATTACATTTTTTTCTTTTTCGATCTAATTCTTCTTCAATACATTCAGTCATCTGTTCTATATCATGAAATCGGATTTTTAATAGATTTTGATAAAATGTGTGATTAAAAAGTTGTAGATCTCATAAAATTTGTGGTTAAAATCAATTATTGACTTTGACTTAGATTAAAATCTGAATTTTAATTTTTACCTAACATGGGCAACTAGAATATTAATGGGTCTTATAGGTTTAATCCCACACTTGGTCCTCAGTTCAAGCCCACATACTGGGCCTCTTAGCGTTTAATGTTTCCAGCCCATGGGGGCTTCAATGCATAACCCAAAACAGAGGTTGAAGTCAAGGAAGAAGAGACAAGATTAATGAACAAGTGAAATGAAGTGAAGTGTTCACCTTTTCTTTCTTTATTTATTTTTTGAATTATTTAGAATTATACTAAATTCTTGCATTTTTCTCAGGTATATGCATCAAGGCCATTCTTTTTACCAGGTTAATAATGATAGTAGAACAGATTTCATCAACTTCCAAGAAAAAGATTCACAATTGTAACAAGTTTCAAATTGATGAAATTTTATACCTACTTGCACCGGTGGTTATTATGAAGTGAAAGTTCGGCGCCTACAATTATTGCTCCAAATACTAGGCAACAAAGTCATACATTGCAACATACAATGGAACTATTTTTCACTTGAGAATCATGATGTCAAGTTGAGAACGGTTTTAACTACAATTTTGAGAAACTTAAAGAACAAAGAATTCAATCAAGAACAAAGATGAGTCAAAATGTGAAAAATGCAGAGTGAGGACACAATCAAAAAACGTGTAATAACCCAATCCCATTGAAATCGAAGCCAAAATAAAAAAGGAAGGGAAAGTCACATTGTAAGAATCCGATTCCTTAAAATTCAGGTTTCTTGATAGCCACTAGATAAAATCAGTTGCAAGAGGAGTTGTCCTGTTGCTGGTTTGATCAACTGATTTCGGTTGGAATCTTCAACTATATGGAGCCTTAGTTAGTTAGGTAGTTAAGTACTAATTTTGATACCTCTTTGTGTCTATAAATAGCTGCATTTGTTGTATGAATAAAGGAACTCGAGAATGAGAGAAAATGAAATGAGATAAAGTAGTGAACTCTTGTAAATCTGTAAAAATTCTTTCTGATGATT